CGAAACTTTCTTTGTTTTGGCTGTGGGTGAAACCCAACCTTTTTTTTTTGTTTCTAATTTCTTTTTTAAGATTAACACACACACACACACACACACACACACACGTATATTTTTAAATAAAAAATAAGATTTAAGGAGAAAAATTTAACTCTCAAAAGTTGACTCCCAATATTTTAAATGATTGGAATAATTTGAAGAGAAATTTTAAAAGATTTAAATGAGATTTTTTTTTCATTTTGTTAAAATATAATCCTAAAAAGGATTAAATTTTATTTTTTTTATTTTTATATTTTTGATTATTTTAATGAACTAAAAGAAATAAAATCCTAACTAAAAAAGATTTTCTAAAATAAAATTAAGCCCTATCAATGAAATTAAATTTTTTGTTTTGAAAGTATAATCCTAAAAAGGATTAAATTTCATTTTTATATTTTAGATGTTTTTAGGTTATTTATTATTAAATTTTAAAAATGCTCAAATAAAATACGGTGTTCACAGCCTTGCATTTTTTAAGATCAAACTTTTTAAGAAATGTCTTACATTTTTTAACAGAAGGAATAATAAATAAGACTCATCAAAATCTAAAATTTTAGTATAATATAAGGACTAAAATAAAATTATGATAAATAATGAAATGATTAAAATAACTTTTATTAAAACATTAAAAAAGGGGTCAAATTTACATGTAATAGTGGGAAAATAACAATTAAAGTTGAAAAATTAATAGCTGAAGTTATTTCATAAATTCAAATAAATTAAACTGATTAAATAGGTCTTCTCATTTTTTCAAGGATTAACAAGTTAAGTAAAGTAATTTACAATTATTGTTTAAAAATTAATAAGTAAAGTTACGATATTAACAACTAATGTTATTTCATAAGTCCAGATAAATTGATTGAACAAATAAAGGATTTTCAAGTCAAGTAAAGTAATTTACAAATGGTGTTGGAGAATTAACAAGTAAATTGAGAAATTAATAGATGATGTTGCTTCATAAATTTAAATAAACTAATTAAACAAGTAACTTATGTAGCAATTTTAATTTTTAATTTTTCCATTTTAAATGTTAATTTTCTAACATTACGTGTAAATCTCACCAATATCTTTTTAATGTTTAAATAGCAACTATTATGATCTTTTCATCATTTAAACTAATTTTATTTCAATCCTCTTATAGAGTCGAGAATAAGGGTCGGACCTAGAAGGTTGGGCTTAAAAGCCTTATTTAGATAAAGATTCTAGCTTGAAAAATTGGTGGTTTTTTGGAAAAATCGGGCTTCTAGGCTCAACCCTGATAGGTCCTGAAAAAAAAAGGCTCGGACAACCCTTTAAGCTCTGTTTTCCAAAAGATCAATAATTTTTTAAGTATTGTGTTATCAAAATATTTGATGTTGGTTCTTTTGCCATTTATTTTAACACAACATTAACATATTTTTATTAATTTCTTAAACACGATTACTTTATAAGGTCTATTTCTTAATTTTGATTAATGTTATACTTTATGATACACAAGTTTTTGTACTCTATGATTTTGAATATAGATTAAGATTCTATACCTTTATTTGTATTTATTTATTTTATTAAATTTTTAAATTTTTTTTAATTTTTTTAAAAATAAATTGAGCAAACGGATCCAACCTTGAGCCCTTCAAATAAATATTAAGCTTTAAAAATTGATCATTTTTTAAAAAACAGGCTCAAGGGCCTGAGCCTTTAAGCCCACCCATTTTCCCACTTCTACCTCTTAGATTAAATTGCAATTTTGAATTTTAATGGGCTTTATTATTCATTATGTCACTTTGTTGAAATTCTCCCTTCCTTAAATGTGATCAAATATGTTATCAGCACAAGCACTTGTCTAATTGTCTCTTTGATGTTGTGTTTGGACCGCCAGTGCGTGACCAGATTTTTCATGTTGAAAGAGACAGACAAGATAAATTTGTGATAGGATCCAAAAGCCTTATGCATCTGTCTCTTTAACCTAGTGAAAGCAGTATATTTTTCCAGTTATAGAGGATATATAGATTGCTCTTTTGGCATGACCTTTATAGATATTATTTGGTTTGGTGATTTTGTTAAAATTTTTCTCTTTTTTTATTTTTTAAATAAAATTAAATCCATGAATATTAAAAGCAGTTATCTTTAAAATTAAAACATAGCATCTTGATTCTTGATTAAAAATTTTAGTTCCTCAAATTTGGCTTAATTATTAATTCAATCATTTAAGTTTATTTTTTATCAGTAGAGCCTTTTACATTTTCTTATGTTTTTATATTAGTCTTCTAAGTTTTAAGAATAGGAAAATTTCATTTAAGATTCTTTGATTACACTTAATAAAAAAAATGCCCCTTAAATTCTGAAAATTCACTTCAGAATAGAGGTATTGAAGTGAAATTAGAATGCAGAATAAAATTATCCTATTGTTTCTCATCTCTTCTGATTTTATATTGAAGTTGTTCATGTCCTTGCATGAAGTTATCTATTGCCCTATAAGAGTTGTTTATGCTATTAATAAATTTTTATTTTATTTCAAGTGTTGTAATTATGATAATATAAGTTGTTCATTTTTCTATATCAAGTTGTTTATTGATCTATAGAAGTTGTTTGTCCTATTACTAAATAACTTTATATGAGGAAATGAACAATTTTATATAGAAAAATAAATAACTTCAGTAGAGAATCAGAGGGGATGATGGACAACGAGATAATTTTACTCTGCACTTTAATTTCACTTCAATACCCCTGATCTGAAATGAATTTTTAAAGTTTAGGAGGCCTTCTTTTTCATTAACGGATCTTAAATGATTCCAATATTTATATAGCTACTATCAAGATTCTGTTATCCATATTAGCAAATTTAATTGTGTTACCTTCTATTTAAATAATAAAAATCAAATTGATAATTCATACAAATTTAAGGAATTGAATTGATAAAAATTAAACTTAAAGGATTAAAAATTTTATTATTTTTTAATTTTTTTTATTCCAATATTTGGTATCCTGAAAAGCCTATGGGTATTATGACCTCCCACCCAAACTAATCTGAATCCCGGCTGCATATTTAAAAACTCAAACTCAAAATTTTAAAGTAAGTTAATATAACTCTCTTAACTAGTTGAACTGCTTCTGAATATTATTCTTCAATTTATGTGCGTGTAAATTCATATCCGAATTTCTTTACCGTGTTAAAACTATTTGCTGAGCTCACCAAAGATTTTATTAAAGGAATATTATTCATGTGACGTTAACAATTAAGCTAAAAGCAACGATCCAAACTTCTCATTTGACCAAACAGCTTGAGAAAATAGTAGCAATTCCTCAAGTCCATGCCCGCATTGCACGGTTGAATAATGTTCGTTACACCTTTGACGTGGGACTTGCATAAAAATCTGTAATTAGGATTTATGGCCTTTTACTCTTTGTTAGGTTGATCTATAAAAACTAACAATAATTAATGAAGTTTATTAGTGTGGTGAAGACAAAAAATGTATAGAAAGGACGGTGAATTTCTAAATTCTGCATCATACACTCAGCTCAGACCCATACACCGTATCCATCTCTCAGTAACTAAAGTTGCATTGAAGCTTGAGCTTTTCAATTCTGAGAGTTCCATTCCACCTAAATCAGAGGAAATTACTGTCATTCCATCAGCATCAGCAATTATCATTTGAAGGTTTAAATTAAGATCTCTGAAGACGATATCTGCAGCCAAGAAATTAACACGTAGCATAAGTTCAATCATGCACGCAAGAGTCTTTATCGAGATAGTATCAGAGCATTAGCAGGAAACATGGAGATATATTAATGTAAGACCCTACGCCACATGTCATTTGATGACCGGCTAGCTGGCTCTAATTAAGCGACTAAGCCGACACCGATCTGTTTCTTTTCTTGTAAGCACGACTTACCCTTTCATTTCTATCCTTATTTCCTGACAACCAGACTGCTTTGTCTCTCCTGTGGTGATCTTCATCTTTCTCTTTTTCTCTATTTGTGGGTGCAATTTTGGACGGTGGATTTGATTGTGATGGCTGTTGAATTAAATTTCATAGAAAGAGACTTCATCAGGCACCTAGCTGCCTTGTTTGGCGTACACTCATAGGGCTTAACTCAACCAATCCAAGAAAGATATTAATATTATCTTCTGTGAACAAATTTGTCCTTCCCACTCTCATAGTGCTCGCTTTTGCTATCACTATGAACGCTTTTTCTTTCTTCTGTCATGTAATGATGTGTACTAGAAGTATCTTCATTCGTGTCGTTTAGCTACCAATCAGTTAATCAAGCGGAACAATCAGGGGACAAATCTAAATAATACTAACGTAGAAGAGACTTTGGTTGCGATTAGTGATTATATTTTCGCTTTTGACAGTGGTGATATGAAGAGGGACAGAAAATGACCATTTACTCATCGTTGATCAGCAAATCCTGAGATGACAAGCTTTGTTATCACCTATCAGATAGTTAATCTCCTTCTTTACTATCTATCAGCTTTGGTTTGTTCCTTTTTGACAGAAAAAGACACGTTATCCCTTAACCTGATAATCCAATAGATGTCTTGCGCTCCTTTTTATTCAAACATCATCATGAATTCGGGAGCTGCTTCTATCATTTAACGCAGAAGGATTCACTAATGTTTTTCAAATACTGCACAATGGTGTTGGCTTTTTGTATCCACTACGAGAAATCAAGCTTGGTTAATGTGATATCTTTCTTTAACGTAAAAAGAAAGAACTCTGATATTGTCAGTTTAATTCTCATCTTATATCTCTTTTATCTCAACCCGAAAAAAAAAAAAAACTTGTGTTTTTAGCATGTACTTAATGAAAATTAGTTAAATGAGAAGGCATTAAATGCTGGATGCCTAGCGTTTATTCATATATATAGTTTCGAAACGGTCAAAAAACTTTCACTATAGTCTGCTGAATTCCTCGTTTCAGTTATCATCCAACCTTAAATGCCTATAAATAAAATGAAATGGAGAAATATACATACATGAGTTAAGGGGAAATATCATTTGATTGCAGTATTTTTAGAATAAAAATACATATCTGAAATTTCATAAGAAAATTATCAACACTTGTAGGTTTTTTTTTTTTTTGGAGAATAAAGAAGAGTAAGTTAAACTACAAGAAATTTTCCAAGGTCTCCAGGAAATTCTTCATTCCACTCAAATTCAATCAGAGAGCGCCAAAGAGTTCATCAATCCAATTTGTGGTTTGTATTTGATTCTTGGTTCTCCGATCCCATGCGTGGAAGAAAAATTGACCCCAAAAAAAAAAAGGTCTCCCTAATCCATTACACACATCTTTGCTAAAATCTCTGCACTCTCACCTGCAATATAATGTCAGTCATTTCATCCCTAAGATTTAGACAATGCTCAGCAGGTTTCCCGGTTCTAAGACAAGTCCCAAGTGGCCCTCACTTCAACTATGCTATCTGTTATGCTTATTACATATTGTCATCAACTGTTTGGCTCTCAGACGAACCCTACTGGAATGTAGGACCAGATAAATCACTTGGAGGATTTCTTGAATTGGTGGCCATCACTAGTTCACAAGTCCGTCTTTGACTTAAAGCCTCTAATGCCTCACCCTTTAATGCCTCTTGTGATATCTAAACTCTCAAATTTATTTTCCTTTTTTAACTTGGTCATTATTTTTCCATAAAATGAGAGATTTTAATATCTTTCAAACATGACATGACGACTTTTTGTATTTCTTACAATTTTTCAAAGAAAATAAATCAAAATTGAATGGTTTGAGAGCCATTACACGGGACATTAGGGCGGTAAGACATTAGTGACCCTAAAACTGTCTCTCTCCCCCTTTTGACCTACAATCGTTCCATCATATGCACAAGGATCTTCACATTCTAAGGCTTTTCAATCTTGTGAGGCTCGTCTTTCATCAGAAGAACCCAAGACTAGACAAGACTTTTAGTTTTTACCATAGTCAGAACCTTGAGCTCTACTGTCTCTGCATTCTTCTTTGCATCCTGATTCACTTCTTTAAAGAAGAAAACCACAAAGCTAGACATGTTCTAAGTGCGTGAATATTTTATTGACCTTTATAATCCTTCCTCGTTGTCAAACTTATTGGGGTTGAATCACCTGGAGCTGTTATCATCATTAAGGTTTGAATATGCCCATGATCTATCTAGCTGTAGAGTGTGATAATGCTTTCCATATATTGAAACTACGAATGACCGGATTGAAGAATGAGGCTACAAAATTCACAACACACCGCTTTAATTAGAAACGTAGTTTATTCTCAGATGGAACTTTCAGGCTTAGCTAAATACTACCCTCAGCACGTTCTGTTGTTCTAAAAGCAGCTCGGTAGTGATTTTATCGGATTACCGAAATGGCAAACCAGTGTTAATTAGTGAAAACAATCAACCATCTTTCAGATACACCTACTGCCTATGTAAATTACCTAATCAGGTTCAAATGTCATTTGTTCCATGTGCCCAACATTCCCAGCTTTCGTGTGGGAATTAACTAGAGAATTTAAAGCCGCGACCATTCTTTGGCATTGATGTCTTTTTTCCTCCAACAATGGAGGAGTTGGGAGTTCGTTCTCCAACCTCCAATTTCAAATTAAGACGCTAAATAGCAAGATTATATGGAGCATTCAAGCCAATCCATTAGCTAAACTTCACGGATCAGCAGGAAAGACCATTGTTATTTCGTAATTACATGGAATAATTAGTGGAAATAAATTTTAAAAGTAGCTATAGAGAAATACACCAAGACGGTTTGAAATGCATTCCATGCTCTATAAGAAATTGGCTTTTGTGCGTACAATTATAAGGCATGCAAATAGAGTAACATCTAATGCTCCACTTCAGGGGCAGGCCTAAAAGGAAGGAAAATCTTGGGGGAGGGGGGGGGGATTAGCATGCACAATCTAGTGAGCAGAGGGAAAAAATAAAAGAAAGCATACCCCGTTCTCTTCTGCTGTACCACTCTTTACAACCTATTCGGTATCTGAAGGCATGTAATGTGGAGGATCAATATCAATAGGTAGTTGAGGCGGTTCAGTAGCTATACTAGGTATCTGGGAAGAAGTAGCAGGTTCCTCTGTCATCAAATTCTGTAATCCAGGTCTCAATTCAGCGTTGCAGAATTGTTCATATTCTGTTTTATCCCCTCCTTTTTTCTTGACCTCCAACACCACCAAAGACGGTGTTAATTCAAATATCTCTGCAGCAATTGTCAATGGCCCCTTTGCGCTTTCTCTCGAACCCTCCAAGCTTACTCTGCAATCTTTCTTCCTCACAGTGAAGCTGACCAGTCTGGCAATTTCCTCCAATTTTGATATGATCTTTGAAACTGGTGCACCAGACACAAACCTCGCCTCATCCCCCTTCTCCTCAAACAACCCAGAAAGATCAAAACCAGGAGAAAATGATATTATGTCAAATGCATTCAAGCTCGCAGGTCTCGGCAGCGAAGCATTTCTTCTTCTGGTCTCTACCTCCGAATCAGATTCTGATACGGAGTAGTCCGACATCGATTCTATATCCTCTATCTTGTCCATCTTATCGTCAATATTACAAAGCTTATCATCCTCCACATAGAACTTTATCTGTTTGAACCCTTTCTTGAACCACCGGTTCTCCATAATCTCCGGAATGGAAATTCGGGTTTGCGGGTTGGTATCAAGGAGACGCGTGACAAGTCGAGTGAGATCGGATGAAAACCACTTGGGACATCTGAACTCACCCCTGTAAATCTTCTTATACATTGCCATGATATTCTGGTCATGGAAAGGCAAGTACCCAGCCATCAAAACAAACAGAACAACCCCACAAGCCCAGACATCAACCTTGGCCCCATCGTAACCCTTTCTAGCCAATACCTCAGGGGCGACGTAAGCAGGAGTCCCGCAAAATGTGTGGAACAAACCATCTGGCAGAATTTGATCGGAGACAGCGCTCAATCCAAAATCAGACACCTTGAGATCCCCATTTTCGTCGAGCAACAAGTTTTCAGGCTTGAGATCCCTATGAAATACCCCTCTCGCGTGGCAGAATCCGACGGCGGAGATAAGTTGCTGAAAGTATTTCCTGGCACTTTCCTCTTTCAGTCGCCCTTTAGCGACTTTATTGAACAGCTCACCCCCACGAACATATTCCATCACAAAATAGATTTTGGTCTTGGTGGCCATGACCTCGAAGAGCTGAACGATGTTGGGGTGTCGGACGCGTCGGAGGATGGAGATCTCGCGCTTGATGTGAGCGACGAGGCCGCTCTTGAGGATCTTCTCCTTATCAATGACCTTGATGGCGACCCCTTCGCCGGTTTGAACATTGCGGGCATGGTAGACCTTAGCGAACGTGCCATGGCCGAGGAGCTTGCCGACCTCGAAGCGACCCAGCAAGAGGCTATTTGCGCCGAACTTCTTGTTGGAGCCGCTAGTGGAGGCCTTGCTGGAGACAGCGTCGGCCATTGATGGCGGCTAGGGATGTGGAGTTCAAAATTGAAAGCTGGAATGATTGTTGGAGGAAAAAGAGAGAGAGAAACGGACGGAGGTGTTTTCTAGTGATAGGCCTCCACCATTGGAGCTGTTGTGGTTATGATTTGTGGAGGGGCTTTTCTCGGCTTAATAAAGAAACAAACACTTGGCCATCGAGAGAGAAGCCAAGAGATGCGCTTATAAGAGAGGATATACCGCCGTTACGCCGTATTATTATTGTTTCCTTCGCTTTCCACTTTTTCCAAATTTTTATGACTTCTGTTCATCATTCTTCCTTAGCAGTTAATGCTGCTGCTGCTTCTATTACCTGCTTCTTCCTTCTCCTTCTCGTTTTTTCTTCCCTTGGTGGAGGTTTTCTCCCTCTTACAAGCAAGTCAAAACTTTTTTATGAGAAAAAAAAACAGAGGCATGTTTTGTTTCGGTTTTATTTTTTATTTTTAAAACCCATTTTATAATATAATTTTTAAAATTATTTTTTAAAATAAAATAAAAAATTATTTGCTTGTATTAATTTAAAAATTAAAAATCAGTCATTATTGTCACTGGCAGTTAATAGTGATAGTTTATGATAAATTGATAATTATTATTCAAGTAAACTATAAGTTTTAATAATAAAATGTAAATTATTTTGAAAACAAAAAAATAAAATGACAATAGTTTTAAGATGTTTTATTTTTATTTTTTGTATTAAAAACAAGGGAAAATTTATCTGCATGTCCTTATAATTTTGTTTAATTTTAAATTAGATTCCTATAATTTATTTCATTTTAATCAAACTCTTATAAGTTGATCTATTATATATATTAAACCACGAAAATTAAAATCATTCCTCTAATACTATTTATAGGATAGAGAGAGAAAAAATTAATCCTATTTATAGAGTACTTACCAATTTCTAAGGTCACTCTTTACATTTTTGTTCTTATTAAATGTTTTGAATAAAATACTAGTAATGAAATTTAACAATATTTATTATGAGTAAAGATAAAAATTTGTTAAATTTTAAGACAAATTTAATAAGATTTAAGATTTTCTTTGATTTCAGTAAAATATATTAAAAGTGACTTATAAATAGGACTAAAAGGAGTAATAATAAATTATTAAATTTCACAAAAAAATACTCTTGGAGTGGACAAAAAATATAGTTTAATACTTCTAGCCAAAATCAATAAAAGAAAATTTGACTAAATGCGCTATTTACATTTTCATAAAACTTTGCACAAAAAATTATACATGTATAAAAAATATTTAGAAAACTACATAATTATATAAATTTTGAATTATAAAATTATATAATTAATTTTAAATTTATATAATCATTTAATAAAAATATAAAAGTTCTTAATTTTGTTCTTTTAAAGGATAAATTTAAGGATTTTTATATTTATGAATTAAAAAATTTAATTAATCAAACTATAAGGATTCAATTAAAGCAAAACAAATTGCAAAAAATTAACTCAAAATTAAATAAAACTGTAAAGATTTGTAGATATATTTTTTAAAAAAACAAAAGATGAGAACAATTTTAAAGACAATTGAATTTTAAACATTTATGTGAACAAATTTTTTAATCTTTTTGTTTTTAAAAAACAACAAACTGTTTTTGAGAACAAATTTCAAATGAATTCCCTTGCATTCTAAGATTCTCCAACTATGGGCCATCGTTTAACTTTTCTTAGATTGATTATATTTTGCGGATGCCTTGATGGCGCAAAAGAATTGAATATTTTATTAATCACTATTAACCATGACAAAAAATGATCATATTTTATGATTGTCAAGAAATTTCTTCCTTCTTACGTTTTTATTTAGAGAGAATAATAGTTCGATATTAAAAAAATGACTTAATAACAGTTAGTTTTTCAAAAAAATTATAAAATAAATTTTAAATATTAATTTAAAAAATTACAAATTGAAATTTCTGTTACAATCTAAGAGTAATATATTTAAATATTTATTAACAATTAAAACTCTTAAATTTATAATAATCTAAATTAATATTTTCAACTACTTTTTAAAAAAATTGTTAGAAACTTAACTGTTATTAATTCAACATTTTAAGACCTAAATACTATTTTTCTCTTTTATTTATTTTTTGCAACACCATTTTAGTATACGTAACAAGAAAAGGAGGAAGAAGAAGAGTTGTTAGTCTTTTGTTTTGAAATATTAAATTTTAAAACACCTAAGCTAAAGGCTCTCTCAAAATACTATAATAAGTTTCAGTATTTAGCATTAAAGCAATTCTTTTGTCTTATTTGCCTTCATAATTTAGATAAAATCATTGTTTAAATCCCCGACACTCAAATTTGGAAGCTTTATATAGTACTCAATAATTTAAAAGTTGTTCCTTTGATTATCAAAAAAGAAAGTTTAATAATTTAAAATAAAAAACGGGGAAGCGTTACTTTAAACCTGGACTGGCGTGGCCGTCCGCTTTACCAAGCCCCCTTGTTTTCATACTTTAAGTTTAGCCCAATTAACGTTGACATTTTCTAATTGAGTAATGTAAATGTAATTACTATTTTAACCTTCTTTTCCACCTTATATTTCATATTTAAAAGATAAAACGTCATATTTTCATTATAATATTTATAAATTATTTTAATATATTTTATTAGAATTGAAAAATTTTAAACTCATTAATTCTGTTTAAAAGTTTAACATATTTTAATTTTATACTTATTAAATATAATATATATTTTAATTACATATTTTTTTTCTCGCCAACATTTCATAAATGATGGGAAGAGAAATTTATAATAAAAAATTAATAACATAATTTATGAGTATAACAAAAAAAAAAAATCTCACTCTCTCTCCCCTTTATAGTACTCCCTCCGGTCTCATTTATAAGTCTCATTTTAAAAAGTGTATTTGGTCTCATTTATAAGTCATGGTACGTCTTTTTAAGTAATATTTGAGAAGTATTTTCAAAATTACCCTTCATGAAAAAGAAAAAATAACAGGACATTACTTTTTAAATTTGTTATATAGAAGCATGTTTGGAATTTACTTATTTTTATTCCTTGTACTTTTATTATATTGATATTGATGAGGTTGATAGAAATAATTTATAAATAGGACCGGAAGGAGTATGTTTCATAAATCAAATTCCTCAACTTTGAAATTGAATGTACTTTTTTTTGGGGCCGGAAAATTGAACGTACTTGATGACATGCAGGGTCGGCTAAGGATCCGTTGAAAAGAGGGGAATGGCTTTCACCTACTCATCCCCACACAAGGCGAGTTTCTACATAATTTATTTGAAAATATTGTATTGTATGTTTTTTTATGTATTATTCTTTTTATTTAAAAATATAAAATATTTTCAATAAAATTTTATTTTTTAATAAAATATTATTTTTTTTTAATTAATATTATCTTTTTTATACTTTTTTCATTTAATAAAGCATCTCATTTTAAAATAAATTTAAATTTAGTTATTCATTTCGAGCACTTAAAAAAAATATAATAATTATATCTTGAAATATTAAAAATATTTATATTTTTTAATATATAAATCCTTCAAAATATTTTATATTTTTAAATAAAAAAAGTATAATATTATTTCTAATGTTTTCTTTCCTTGATCTGTGTGTCATACACTTGTGTAGTGTTAATCTTTTCTGTATTATTTTAATTTTATGGTTTATTCTCAAAGGAACTAATACTCCATTTTTTTAATGCCTCTTATAGTAACTCAACACTTTTAATTGATTTTTGGAAAAATATAATGTTTGATTGATAAACTTTTTCTCAATCATCTACTAAGTATTTAGATTTTAACTCGACATTAGGTGAATTCCTACATAATTTATTTGAAAATATTGGGTTGCATGTTACTTGGTTTATCAAAAATATATATTATAACATTATCTCTAATGCCTTCTTTCCTCGTTTTGTGCATATCATATGCTTGTATATTGTTTTAATTTTATCAAATATGCCCGAAGGAACTAATACTCTATCTTTCAAATGCCTCAACACTTTTAATTGATTTTTGGGAAAATGTAATGTTTAATTTATAAATTTTTTCTCAGCTATTAATTAAGTCTTTAAAATTTAACTTGAAACAATTTAATCTTTAAATTTTTTTTAATTCAGAAAAATGTGACCCTTGTAGTTCTTTTATTCAATGAAACTCAATCTATATAATTAATTTTTTAACTCAATAAACTACAAATAACTAAGTTGAACTAAATTAAAATTTAAAAGCTGAATTGATAATTGAAAGAAAGTTAAGGGATCAAAAATTATCTTATTTTTAGAATTTTTTTCTTTTAAGATGGCGATGAGATGATGCAATTTTGCTTGTTATTATGATTTAAAAATATCAAAAATCATGCAAAATTTGTCTGTTTTCTTTAAAAATCATAAAAAAATTCAAAAGTGTATCATTTCATAACTGTTAGATATAAAAATATTACTCATCTTATCTTAACTTACTTTTTGCAAAATATAATCTTGGTCACAGTTAATTCTTCAGTAAGAACAATGGTAACGATAAGGTGCCATCATTCTATTGGTTATTGTGCATTTAGTTTTTCTACAAATATTATTATAGGATCTAATTTAATTAATGTGTTGTTTTTACTATTTTGAACTTTTAGTTTCGAATTAATCCCAACATTCGGCATATTGTTTTTGCTTTTGTTTATTATTTTTAAGTTTATGTTTTTTCTGTTTAAGTCAGTTGTGTCTTTCAGTATAATGGATTATTCACAACAATGGTTCCATGCCATGTTTTTTGATTTTGCCGGTTTTACTTCTGTTTTTTTTTTTTTCACTTGTCTTATATGTAGTGTGCAATTCACTGCTTCGTTTCGTCGCAGTCATTTGACATTAAATAATACTTAAAAAAAATCTATTAATTGGAATTGATGTCTTTTAAATTATAATATACATAGTGTTGAGGGCGAACTTCTAGATGAATCTTGTAAAAGCTATTAGCAATTCCCGCACCCATTGCATCATTCATATCACATTGTACAATTACAAGTAATTTACTTTGATTATATTTGATATTCTATGCTCCAAAGTATTTTCAGAGGTTTAAATAAAATAACATTTGTTTGGACATAAAATGTCTACATTTAAATAAAAAGTCCAAAATAATAAAAAATGAAAAGTCTAAAACGATAAGTCATCCAGTGAAGCAAAGCTTAGTCCATTTAAAATAGACATGCTG